ACAACAAGTCAAGAGCCCGCCTGCTGTCTGCTGTGTGCACACTGCTGCAGTAGCAGCAGCAGCAACAACAACACAAGGACCTTCGCCTGTCTGGAAAACGCAGACGAGGGGAGGGAAGACAGGGGGAGGAAGAAGAAATAGCACTCACCTGGCACTCATATTGGTAGTGTCCCGTCTCTGTCAGTGTCTCTTTGGTGTTGCCGTAGGGCACTGGGTGTATGGCGACCTTAGCGAGTTGCAACTCCTTTGCATACGCCGCGACATCCTGCAGCTGCTGGCTAATAAACAACTGGCTGGCCGGGCATCTCTGCAGCGGCGCAAAAATAGAGAAGCAAAGAGATGGTACATATTAACGGCTTTTTTTTCAGTGCCACGGTAAGCGGCGGGCGAGACACATACAGTGACCGATGGTGTGCAGTGGGCATGAGGGCTTCCTTGCGTGGAAGAATGCTGACAAGAGGATTTAACGGGTATTACTAACGAACTAATTCAATTTTAAGCCCTACACTTTCGTAGTACACTCCTATATCAACTGCAAATGCGGAGTGCGTAGACGACAATAAACCCAAGAAGAACGACATGGAGAGTTTCCTCATGGTGGGCTGAAGAGAGGTTAAAGCTGCAAAAAAGGGACAATTAGTACTACTTAATATGTTTCTCTTTCGTATTTAGGCCAGCTTCTTGCAAGAAGGAACTAAACAGTTCTAGATTTCCTGACTTTCTGGGTGTCCTTTCATGAACGATGGCTGAATGCATGCTCTCAGGCGTTCGGGCACCCAGACCCAGGGCTTGTGATGCTTTGTTTTGAATGGTTTTCCTCTTTCTTCTCGTGAGCTTTTCGTTACTGCAGTGTGGCGTGATTAAGTCCGAGAAAGAAGCACGGGGAGGCTTTCGTTCCCTCTATTCAACCAGCTGCAAGCGCAGCGTTCCGCTTTCCTGAGGGTGAGTTGCATCGAACACCCGACGACAGTGCTTGATCTGCATGCACATTTTGTTTGATTTTTAATTCATAAGTAGTTTCGCGTCTCCTTTTTTTTGTGGTCTCAATGAAGTGGGAACCTCTGGGAGTCGACGGCGCCTCCATGATGAGACGGTGGCCCGCTCGCCTCTCCTTTTCTTCTGTTTTCTCGTTGCTTTTTTGTTATATTTGTGCCCATTCAGCAGCTGCAGCTGCCAACGGCACCAGTATAGATGACGTAGCAAATCCATACGCCTCTTTGGGGGCTCCAACGGACACAAGCCACAACCAGCTTGGCGACGGGACGCTCTCTTACCGCGCAGATTCTCTTGAGGAGGATTACGTCCCTCTCGGCCATTCTACCCCTCACGCGTTGCAAGGAAATGCGCCACATTTACAGGACCAGCAGCCGGTGCATGTAGAGCGTCACGTGATCGTGTTGGGGGAGGAGAGGGCTCGTGTTCCTGTTTTGAGGGGCCGGGGTTTCTTTATATTGGGGTTGTTGATGCTGGCAATGTGTCTGTCAGCCATCAACAGCCATCCCGACTCGAAGTCCGCTGGCTTCTTGAAGGGCGTCGCGTCGAGTGCGCGAAATGTGGTGGAGTTCAAGGATTTAATGCGCAGCCTCTTTGTGCTGATAACTGCATTGTCAGCTCCATTGCTGATTTTCTGGGGCGCCAGACGCCTTGTGAAGACTCTCCCTGCTTACCTGAAATGGGCTAAGGACAACGATGAATTCGGTATTGCCCAGTTTGTCATTGTGTTGCTGTACGTGTGGATGTTCTTCTTCGACCCCACGGGGAAGTAAAACAAACAAGAAATGGAGTCAGAGGAAAAAAACAAAGTTTCTGTTGCTTTATCGTCTCCCGGACCTCGGTTTCAACGGCATGCTTTTGTAGGCCTTCTCAAGCCAGTCAGAGGTTCGGTGGAGCATCAAGCACACACCAATGAACATGTGTATAGTGTGCATAATCTAGGTAATGTATATTATATACATGTACATATTATATATGTCAGTATCTGGAATTGCAGGGTATAATTGCATGGGAAGTGTCCTTGGGTTCAAAGGACCAACCCACACATCATCAGACATCAGCCATTTCTGCAAAAGGGGAGAATAGGCGCATGCATCTTTGCCTCAGCGGAAGCACGTGCTGCAGCACATTGATAACTTGGTGTACGTAGATGTATATTGATGCATAGGGAGGGATGCTTATGTGTGTATGCATCTACACACGCGCCTGCATGGGCGTATGTATGTATACACCAAATGTGTACGTACGTGCGCTTGTGAATGCCTTTATGCATGTAAGTGACTAATCATGCACGGGACTGCAGGTTGAGTAAAGTGATACGACTGTCTCCTTGATTTTAAGACACCTGTGGAGACTCCGGGTCTCCTAAGGAGCCGAGGGATGGACAATGCGGAAAGAGCCCCTGCACTGCAGCACTGGATCGCGTGCGGTTGTATGAAGGGCTTGCTGCTGCAGCAAAGCCATTGCAGGGGCTTTTTTCTTCTCCTCCTCTCTCAGGGGTCTTCTGCAGCAGATTGGGGGCAGGGGCACGTACACCCGGGCGCTGCGATGGGGGGGCAGACAGCAGAAGCGGTGTTTTGCAGAAACCCGCGCTGGTGCTGCCTATGGAAGCCTCGTGTGAATGAGGCATGGATTAATTGCTACGCCCGTTGTAGTAGAACTGCGCATATTTTTGTTCTGTGCTGCTGCTGCTGCTCGGCACCAACGAGGGAATATTAAAAAGAGGGGGGCGGGAAGAGAGAGGGACCGTTGGGGAGGAGTTTTGAATACGAGAGCGTACTCAGTCTTTTCAGTGCTTGCTAGTAGATGCTGCTAGAGCCCATATCAGTTGCCTTTCGGGTAGACAATAGCTCAGAGGGTAACGGGGCGTTATTTGCTAGTCTTCAAAAGCAAGACAGAGGTGGATGCTGATGCCAGTGCGGGACCGCATGGAGAAATGCGTGTTCTTGTCGTTAGCCCTCAAGGTTTGCCTTCGCGCTCTTCTCTCTTTCTGCTTCCGTGTCTGGCTTGTTTTCACCTTCTGCTCATGCTTATCTCTCTTTCCTAGTGTTTTTGCCTCTGCTTGCTTCTGTCTGTGCCCCTCTGCCTGCTCGTATGCAGTGAGGCACACTGTAGAAAGGCGCATCCTTAGTGAGTAATAGAAGAGAAAAGACATGCAAGAAAAAACAAGCAGACCGGGGGAGAGGACCGGCAAATACGAGAAAACAGAAGAAAAAAGAGAAAACAGACAACAGAAGGATATAACCAGAGGGAAAGCAGAGATTGACAACAACGCAGGAGCAAGGCAAGCAAATAGACATAATGACGAAAAAGGAGATAAGGCAAAGAGGATAGACAGAAACTGGCTAACTACCCGACAAGTCAAAGTGATATTCCTAAAGAAGACAATGAAGATGCTCCAACCAAGCCGACGTCTTTTGTTCCTTCATATTGTGGAGGAACCCTAAAGAAGGGAGAGGCACCTCAGGTAGAGCAGTTCTAGTAGAAAATAGTTAGAAATCAACAGGGAAACGGAAGACAGAAAAAGAAAAGGATAACAATTTCAGTCTCAAAGAAACATTTGTACCATTGAGAGTCGTAGACAAACCGTGAGCTGAATATAACGAAAATCATATTCAACATTTTGCCGAAAACAATAATTGTTGCAATACGTTTCTGTGCATATATATATATATATATATATATATATGTATATATAGCTAAGTATAGATGTACATGTATGTACAAAACTGGAATGCATTTGGCGCCTTCTTTCTCTCAAGAACAACAACTTGAGGAGGGAGCGCATGTTCTAGACACTCGATGAAAAGTAGACAAATAGCATGGAGAAATATCAGCGAGCGAAGGAGCTATTGCTTGTTGCATCTATTATTCAAAGAGGCTGCAGCTTTCTCGCATTCTGTCCTGGCTGGACAAAGGAGTAGTGGTTGCTTCTGCTCAACAGCATCTGTTTAGATGAGTGTAGCTGGCCATAGCCAGCCACACCTACTTATCTACACAAACTCGCGCTGTAGGTACACCAGCAGAAAACATGGAACAAGAACACCACTTAGGACCGACACCTAATACACAGTAATAGACATTAACACGTGTTACTGGAAATAGTTGAGAATCACCCCATCACCAAACAGTTATTGTAACGATCATTGTCTGAATTCATGACAACGATCTTCAGGAGAACCTAAAGAACGACTTCTCCCCAATTGGCTTAGATTGCATTTTTGTAAGACTAATGCGTATAACGCAGCAAGCAGCCTACCTGCCTGTGCTGCAGCTGACAAAGAGCCTATGCTAACATAGAGATCTCTATTTACACTAAA